AATAAAATAATAAAATAAAATAAAATAAATAAATAAAATAAAAAGAATAAATAAATAAAGTAAATAAAATTTAAAAAATTAAAACATAAAATAAAATAGTATTAATACAATAAAAATATAATATAATATAATATAAAAATATACAATAATATAACTTTTATATTTATTAAAAGCGCATTTATTTTGTATAAAAACACTTCAAATAATCGAAGTAACACAAAAAATCCGAAACAAAACGAGATACGTGTCCGACCCGTTCGAGTGATTTCACGGATTAGGTTAGGTGACATGTTTACTTGTCCAGCTTGTCCTAAATTCGTTCGTATCACTGAACATTGGAGCACATGAATGCAACTGCTCCAATCGCCTGTGATCCAAATGCTCTCTTGTAATTTGGAGCATGCGACACGGACAAACATGTATCTATTGTATATCTTGCAGATGCCTTTTTATATTGACGCTCGACATTTATTTTTAGCGGCAAAATAGGCCATGTAATCAAAATTGACGCTTGATATTCGCCAATTTTTATCACGTGATCTGTTTTGATTAAAAATGAGCATCGAGAGTCAGCATAAAAAGACATCTTTATATTGTAACAAAAGTTTTGTTCGCGTCAAATAAGCTCCAACATGCTTCAACATGTTTCTACCATAACCTCTACTCACTCTAACGAACTTTTGGTTGAAGGAAATAAGAGCATGTTGGAGCATGCACCGCAAACAAATCTATGGACCAATATTCAAAGTCAGTTTTTATATTCAAGATCGTCTTAAAATGCTTTTTCATAGACGTCAGTTAACAATTTTGTAACGTCTCGTTAGTTTTAACATTAAAACTCAGAAGTTCAGAATTTCCAATTTCTAAGCGTTGCGCGTAAAAGAACTGTTTTTTTGAATAAAGCGAAATAGATTTATTAGATATACCTATTGTTAGTAAATTAGTCAATTATATACAGTAAAATTATTTATACGTCTTCGAAATTTAATAAATGTATTGAAGAAATAAATTTAATTTTAGCAGATTTTAATAAATACTTGTGGAGTTTGCGAAACTATCATAAATGAGGCTGAGATAATTAATCACAATTGCTGGATAACCAAATATTCTCATGGATAGTAATTCAAAATATTTTTATTCACAACGCGGTAAAAGTTTATTTAATTAAAACTCTTTATTTTAAGATTAGAATTATATATTAAATAAAATTTCTTGAATAAAATTTTTTAATTTTATAATATTTGCGCATTCTACCATCCACTAGTAATATTTTATTAATGATGAATTTTTTCTGCTTCAATTGCTTCAACAAATCAATACTATGGATACCTACTTTCCCCACGCGAATTACAAAAATATGACTCATGAAATCTTTTTCGTTCGCGCGTCAAAATATTTGCGCGGCATTATTTATGATAATCTAACCTTATCCTCATCTGATTTTGTGCATCAACTGACGTTCATGAAAAACCTTTAAGTTCTGTTGAGATGTCACGAACCAATCAGAGGGCCGCATTAACGTCTTAAGACATTACTTAAGATTGCGGTGTAAGAATAATAGGTGATTCCACTCATGTAAAATTACTGTGATTTTCTTGAGGAAATTTCGCAGTTGAAC